CTTGGCTTGTGTGAAGTATTGTGCGTGCCAGACAATACTAAAGCCTGGCTCCTGCAAGACTATCAACACCGTGTTCCAGTGCCAGGTTAAAAGAGAAAGTGGGAATTAGCAGAACTATTTCCTGTCCCCCTCATGGGAGTTCTGTCTCTCTTACACTTTTTTTCTCCTTTTCATCTCTTTGTGTTCATATCCAGGAAAGCATATGAAAACTGCATAGTTCTGGATGCTCGCATTTGTTACGACGTTGCCAAGCTTATGTCCCTGGAGTCTGAAAGGTACACATTTTACAAGCTTAGTTTAGACAAGTTTTAGTCACTATTTTAAGTACTGTACACAATGATCTTTCTATGAATAAGGTACGGATTTGTATTTGATGTGTTTGCATAATAATTGCTATTTAATAATGTACATTGCAATCAATCTAGGTTGTAAGCCACATTGCAAAACTCATTTAATGTCAAATAAAATTACTCATTTATTTATTTTGACCTCCTGAGGTCAAACTAAACAGTATTTTCTGAAAAACATTCTACTTTCACTGACCTTTTGTTGAAAAGGAATAGAAAATTGACTTTTTTTTGTACCTTATTATTGGAAACTGCAACAAAAAACATTAGAAATCAGACTCAATTCAATGTTCTCGATTTTGTCTTCTTCAGGAAAAAGGCAGAACGCAGCAAAAAGTTCTATACAGACCTGATGGCCAAGGAACACATGCCCACTATGATTAACCCCAAACCCTGCGGCCACCTCTGCTGCTGCATCATCGCGGGCTGCGAGCAGGTCAGATCATATGCATTGTAACCTCTCAGGTTTCCACTGAATAGTAGGTATCTAGATCCCTCATTAGTAAATGAATCCTCATGAATTTCACTTCACATTCAAATGTAAATCATGAATGCATGAACTGTCTTCAGGAATACACGGTGTTTTCCCATCAGACACAGTCACATCATCTGTCTTGCGTGCTTTCTGTAGTTCCGCTTCATCATATTTACAGTCAGGATGATGTTTGCTCTGCTGCTGTGAGACATGTTCAACATCAGCACGGGATTATTCAGCATTTCTCAAGTGTCCTCATTAGATAAACCGACTTCCAGTTTGTCACCAGAGGCATTTTTCTGTATCACTTCAAGTCAGTATGACTGCTGGAAAAAAACAAGCTCTTAACTTGCAGGCATACAAAGCTTTAAATAGAGGGTTTGTTGGTTAATGGTGTAATTCAATCATGGAAAAGTAACAGAATTCAAAGGGACAGTTACGTGATATTAAATTGTAAAGCCTGGCACATGAAATAATAGTCAGAAAAACAAAAGTTTGCATATGAAGTACCTTGTTTGATACATCAGGTTTTAAAGTTCATATAGTGTGATATAGAGAATATCAAGCGTATACTCCAAGAGGAAAAAACACTTAACAGATTGAGCAAAAATTTGCAATTTGGTGCAGATGCTGATGTATATGGCCAAAAAGTAAGATGAAATTCTGATAGCTTGTAACGTAAATCAGTGAGGCCTTTATAACCCGCCATAAGACATATCTAGAGACCAGAATATCATACAGACTCTAATTGCACATTTTTATTTGATGGGGTCTTTAAAACAAATAATGCAAATAATGTTTATCCATTGTTGCAGGAAGAGGCTGTGAACTACTACACTAAGCTTGAGGCCAAACTGAAGGAAGAATACAGAAAAGAACGAGAAAAAGTCAACACTAAACCTCTGGGAATGGCGTTTGTTACCTTCCAGAATGAAGCAATGACAGCCCTGTAAGTCAAATAGATGTTTTGGTCTCTGTGTGTGAATAAAACGCTTAAAGTTTCATGGGGGTACCATGATTATCTTAATGGTATTACCTTCTGGTACGATCATGTTACCATCACAATACTTTTAATAGAATGAAAAAATAATAATAATATCTGTGTTTTTCCCCTTGGCAGCATCCTGAAAGATTTTAACGCGTGTCAGTGTCATGGCTGTCACTGTCGACGAGAGCCAAAGTGCTCCCCCTTCAGCAGCCTCCTCAACACAAACAACTGGACAGTCACATACGCTCCAGATCCACAGAATGTTTACTGGTAACATCATTATGATCATTATGATCCTAGTCTCGGAGCTAGACTTCAGGCATAAACCGGAATCCACTTCGCTGTTTATACTGGCCAAGAAATACCTACTTAGACAGGAAGAGACTGACCACAGATCATCAGTGATACCACAATATAATGGATACTAGTATTGTTATTTATATGATTGACTAAGACTTTTATTTTTTTATGCAATATGCATTAGATTGCACAGATCTGTGGGCTGTTTTTGTAGAAAATCGTTAAGTCAGATTTATGTATACTGAGCTTTTCATAATGCACATTGTTTTGAAGTAGATTAGATTTACAGAAATCATGATGTTAATGTTTATAATATCTTCATGCCTTACAGTCGCATTTAGCAGATTAGAGCCATGCGATAATATAGTTTACATTTTGTGATGAAACAAGCAATCAAGCAGTTAATATAGTACCGTATTGGCCCGAATATAAGACGACCCCCCTTTTTCCAG